ATAACCACAAGTTGTAACACAAGGACAATGAGGTAAACTGTTGTAATAACCACAAGTTGTAACACAAGGACAATGAGGTAAACTGTTGTAATAACCACAAATTGTAACACAAGGACAATGAGGTAAACTGTTGTTATAACCACAAGTTGTAACACAAGGACAATGAGGTAAACTGTTATAATAACCACAAGTTGTAACACAAGAACAATGAGGTAAACTGTTGTAATATCCACAAGTTGTAACACAAGGACAATGAGGTAAACTGTTGTAATAACCACAAGTTGTAACACAAGGACAATGAGGTAAAGTGTTGTAATAACCACAAATTGTAACACAAGGACAATGAGGTAAACTGTTGTAATAACCACAAGTTGTAACACAAGGACAATGAGGTAAAGTGTTGTAATAACCACAAGTTGTAACACAAGGACAATGAGGTAAACTGTTGTAATAACCACAAGTTGTAACACAAGGACAATGAGGTAAACTGTTGTAATAACCACAAGTTGTAACACAAGAACAATGAGGTAAACTGTTGTAATAACCACAAGTTGTAACACAAGGACAATGAGGTAAACTGTTGTAATAACCACAAGTTGTAACACAAGGACAATGAGGTAAAGTGTTGTAATAACCACAAGTTGTAACACAAGGACAATGAGGTAAACTGTTGTAATAACCACAAATTGTAACTCAAGGACAATGAGGTAAACTGTTGTAATAACCACAAATTGTAACACAAGGACAATGAGGTAAACTGTTGTTATAACCACAAGTTGTAACACAAGGACAATGAGGGTAAACTGTTGTAATAACCACAAATTGTAACTCAAGGACAATGAGGTAAACTGTTGTAATAACCACAAATTGTAACACAAGGACAATGAGGTAAACTGTTGTAATAACCGCAAATTGTAACACAAGGAAAATGAGGTAAAGTGTTGTAATAACCGCAAATTGTAACACAAGGACAATGAGGTAATCTGTTGTAATAACCACAAGTTGTAACACAAGGAAAATGAGGTAAACTGTTGTAATAACCACAAATTGTAACACAAGGACAATGAGGTAAACTTTTGTAATAACCACAAGTTGTAACACAAGGACAATGAGGTAAACTGTTGTAATAACCACAAGTTGTAACACAAGGAAAATGAGGTAAACTGTTGTAATAACCACAAATTGTAACACAAGGAAAATGAGGTAAACTGTTGTAATATCCACAAATTGTAACACAAGGAAAATGAGGTAATCTGTTGTAATAACCACAAATTGTAACACAAGGACAATGAGGTAATCTGTTGTAATAACCACAAGTTGTAACACAAGGAAAATGAGGTAAACTGTTGTAATAACCACAAATTGTAACACAAGGACAATGAGGTAAACTGTTGTAATAACCACAAGTTGTAACACAAGGACAATGAGGTAAACTGTTGTAATAACCACAAGTTGTAACACAAGGAAAATGAGGTAAACTGTTGTAATAACCACAAATTGTAACACAAGGAAAATGAGGTAAACTGTTGTAATAACCACAAATTGTAACACAAGGAAAATGAGGTAAACTGTTGTAATATCCACAAATTGTAACACAAGGACAATGAGGTAATCTGTTGTAATAACCACAAGTTGTAACACAAGGAAAATGAGGTAAACTGTTGTAATAACCACAAATTGTAACACAAGGACAATGAGGTAAACTGTTGTAATAACCACAAGTTGTAACACAAGGACAATGAGGTAAACTGTTGTAATAACCACAAGTTGTAACACAAGGACAATGAGGTAAACTGTTGAATAACCACAAGTTGTAACACAAGGACAATGAGGTAATCTGTTGTAATAACCACAAGTTGTAACACAAGGAAAATGAGGTAAACTGTTGTAATAACCACAAGTTGTAACACAAGGACAATGAGGTAAACTGTTGTAATAACCACAAATTGTAACACAAGGACAATGAGGTAAACTGTTGTAATAACCACAAATTGTAACACAAGGAAAATGAGGTAAACTGTTGTAATATCCACAAATTGTAACACAAGGAAAATGAGGTAAACTGTTGTAATATCCACAAATTGTAACACAAGGACAATGAGGTAAACTGTTGTAATAACCACAAATTGTAACACAAGGACAATGAGGTAAACTGTTGTAATAACCACAAGTTGTAACACAAGGAAAATGAGGTAAACTGTTGTAATATCCACAAATTGTAACACAAGGAAAATGAGGTAAACTGTTGTAATAACCACAAATTGTAACACAAGGAAAATGAGGTAAACTGTTGTAATAACCACAAATTGTAACACAAGGAAAATGAGGTAAACTGTTGTAATATCCACAAGTTGTAACACAAGGATAATGAGGTAAACTGTTGTAATAACCGCAAATTGTAACACAAGGAAAATGAGGTAAAGTGTTGTAATAACCGCGAATTGTAACACAAGGACAATGAGGTAAACTGTTGTAATAACCACAAGTTGTAACACAAGGAAAATGAGGTAAACTGTTGTAATAACCACAAGTTGTAACACAAGGACAATGAGGTAAACTGTTGTAATATCCACAAGTTGTAACACAAGGACAATGAGGTAAACTGTTGTAATAACCACAAGTTGTAACACAAGGACAATGAGGTAAACTGTTGTAATAACCACAAGTTGTAACACAAGGACAATGAGGTAAACTGTTGTAATAACCACAAGTTGTAACACAAGGACAATGAGGTAAACTGTTGTAATAACCACAAATTGTAACACAAGGAAAATGAGGTAAACTGTTGTAATAACCACAAGTTGTAACACAAGGACAATGAGGTAAACTGTTGTAATAACCACAAATTGTAACACAAGGACAATGAGGTAAACTGTTGTAATAACCGCAAATTGTAACACAAGGAAAATGAGGTAAACTGTTGTAATAACCACAAGTTGTAACACAAGGACAATGAGGTAAACTGTTGTAATAACCACAAATTGTAACACAAGGACAATGAGGTAAACTGTTGTAATAACCACAAATTGTAACACAAGGACAATGAGGTAAACTGTTGTAATAACCACAAATTGTAACACAAGGAAAATGAGGTAAACTGTTGTAATATCCACAAATTGTAACACAAGGACAATGAGGTAAACTGTTGTAATATCCACAAATTGTAACACAAGGACAATGAGGTAAACTGTTGTAATAACCACAAATTGTAACACAAGGAAAATGAGGTAAACTGTTGTAATATCCACAAATTGTAACACAAGGAAAATGAGGTAAACTGTTGTAATATCCACAAATTGTAACACAAGGAAAATGAGGTAAACTGTTGTAATAACCACAAATTGTAACACAAGGAAAATGAGGTAAACTGTTGTAATATCCACAAATTGTAACACAAGGAAAATGAGGTAAACTGTTGTAATATCCACAAATTGTAACACAAGGACAATGAGGTAAACTGTTGTAATATCCACAAATTGTAACACAAGGAAAATGAGGTAAACTGTTGTAATATCCACAAATTGTAACACAAGGACAATGAGGTAAACTGTTGTAATATCCACAAATTGTAACACAGGAAATGAGGTAAACTGTTAAACCACAATTGTAACACAAGGACAATGAGGTAAACTGTTGTAATAACCACAAATTGTAACACAAGGACAATGAGGTAAACTGTTGTAATAACCACAAATTGTAACACAAGGACAATGAGGTAAACTGTTGTAATAACCACAAATTGTAACACAAGGACAATGAGGTAAACTGTTGTAATAACCACAAATTGTAACACAAGGACAATGAGGTAAACTGTTGTAATAACCACAAGTTTTAACACAAGGATATCAATCTCACAACCACTGTACCGGGTTATTCAAAGCAGTTGAAATGAAATGATTTATATGTGGTGTTATATATATGACAAGCATTATCTTAAGGACTTTAGATTAGCCTTATATGGAGTTGTTAGAGTTAATGCTGCTTGGTGACAGTGGCGTAACGTTGCCTGTTGGCGCCCCCCCCCCCCCCCCCCGCTGAAAAAGCGCCCCCTGTTGGCTCCCCCTCCCCTTTTGGTGCCCCTCCCTAAAATTGAACAAATTAGGTGATTTTAAAGGATACGCCGGTAAAATCTCTAAAAAAGTGTGTATCTAGAGCAAAACGCGCAGTTTTGCTAGTACTTTAGTTAAGTTTTCGAAATTGTCCCACATTCAAACGACCATTTTGCGCCCCCCTAACACGGCGCCCCCCCCCCCCCCCCCCCCTCCGCACAGCGGGGTCAGCGGGGCCCTTCGTTACGCCACTGCTTATATGGAGTTGTTGGTGAGAGTAGTGAGAGTGGTTCGAGGGGACTAGGGGGTTAAGGACTGTTAAATATGTTGTCCTCAATTGGGAAAGCCCATGTGAAATGTTTGAGGTATTAAAGTTTTATCCTGTAAAGTTTTGTAAAGTTTTGTTCTGTAATTTCCAATGTTATGGCTTTATGCAGTAATTGGAATAAATGTTAATGTTTTCTTCTCAGACTGATTCAATATTCATCCTGCCACATTTTTATTATTTATTTTTATTTTTCATAGATTTCCCCGGCATGCCTACACCCCAGAGGTAGGCAAAGCATCTTTATGCTATCCTCTTGTGGGCCAACCGAGTCCAGCCTCTCTCAAAAAAAATGCATGGGTTATAGTTTGTTACGTAATACTTAAATTACTGTTACTGATCATCAAGCTTTAAAACGTATGCCGTTATGATTATTATTTTGCAATTATAGTGACAAGTGATTTCCGGCCATAACATATTATCCCAAAACAAAACATGTTGAAGTATCATCACTTTTCTTCTTTTTTTTGTTGTTGTTTCAGTCAATAAAATTCTCTCATGATCAGTTGAATAGTTGTAACTAGTATTTGTTCGTAGAACTACTATTTTAACCTAGCATTTTAAATCTTCGTTTTAATCTTTTTTAAACCTTCGACTATTCATATATTATGTTAATTCTAACCCATAAAATCTCCACGTAGCAATGAGTGAGTTATACACCAATCACAGCTGAAAACTCCTGAAAACTATAATCTGTGAACTACATGTGAAGTCCACAACACCTCCCTTCAGCTGCTGAAACCTCTACATTTCATGTGAAGTGCCACAGACCGCTATAGCCAGCACGTGTGCGCGCGGCTCAACCCCACAAACTGGAGCGCGTGTTGTGGGCGAGACCAGCGCATCTGTCATGCGCAGTTAGAGGGGACGGACTGCGCTACCTGGTGGTGCGGGCCCTGAATAAGGAGTTAGTCCCGCGGCGCAACACCCATCTTCCTGTGTTCTTGGACACTTGCCAGGATCTCCACTGTACAGAATGTAGAAACAAGCGACGGACTAGAGGACATGTTGAGGAGGGAGACTTGCACGTGCATGGAGATTTGCACGTGCACGCAGCATTCAGTGAGGATGACGTGGATTTAGAAGAGAGCATAGAGAAGTTAATAGCGCAGTTAGAGAACGAGTTAGAGTCAGTAACCAACGAGATCCGGCCACCCCCAGTTTGCGGTACAACGTGTTATGGCTGGAACTATCCCAGCACTGATCTTAGTTCTACTTCACTTGATCACAGACTCTCCGATACTCCTCCTCCCCTCACTTCACCCCTCACTTCCAGTGTTCCAACTGTCCAGCTGCCTGACAGTGAACCTTTGTCAGTGTCAGGGTCCCTTGATCGTATGAATGGGACAGCTGCTGAGTTTGAGAACATGAATTGGAGCAGTTCCCGACTTTTCAATGGAAAAGGTGAATCAATACCTGGTGATTCACTCGGAGACTTTGGTACACCAGATACCAAACAAAGTATCGTTGCAAATAGCACTATAATGACGTCGCGTGATACTGTGGTGACGTCACGTGATAGTGTAGTGACGTCACGTGACAGTGTAGTGACATCACGTGATATAAAGATAAGCTCGCCTCTGAAGAAAGCAGAGTTGTTTCCTATCCCTAGGACTAATTTGTTTGTGTTCAATGGAAAGGTGGAGACTCTTCAGAACGTTATTGATAAGCTCCACTCCTCCTCCGATTCTACTGTCATATCTTCCAACCATTCTAAACCAGATGTGAGGACATCACGTGATAGTATAAACATAACACGTGACATAATGACTGAAAAAACACTTGAGGCGGTTGCTGAAAAGCTAGAAACTGTGCCAAACAACAATATCACCGAAACATTTCCAATTCAAGTATACGAGGACTCATCAGAAATTCCAATTCGGCGCTCAAACGGCGTGGTAATGTCAGTAGAGGTGACGTCACGTGATTATGCGATGACGTCACGTGATAATTTGAATATCCTGCGTAAGAATCTCAATTTAACACGCAAAAGTGCGATGAAGCCAAGTGAAAATCTTAATGTGTCACGTGAGATTGAGATGACGCCACGTGAGATTGAGATGACGTCACGAGAGATTGAGATGACGTCATGTGACAATTTAAATACGTCACGTGACAAGCAAGATGAGCAGGATAGTTTGACCCGTTTCCTAGACGACCTACAGATCATACCCACTGATCAAGAAGGTAAGTTTTTTAATTTTTTATAAAAATTGTTTTTGTTTGTCAATTCGTTTGTTTCTGAGTTTGTTTATAACTGTTCATTGTTGATAGTTCTCCTATCTTCATCTTTTATTTCAGCCGTATAAAATCATCAAACTATATGTATGTATATGAAGTTGCACAAAACTTGTTTTTTAATAATTTTAGGAAAATTTAAAATTCACAGCAGTTAAAATAAACTTTATGCTAAGTCATTAACCTATTTGGAGTTGTAAACGTTAGATTGCGTAAAGAAGATCAAAAGCACTAGATTTCTTTGTGATTTGTTTCTTTTTATACAGTTTATTTGTAATAAGTATTTCCGTACAATATCACTACAATAAAGTGCATTACAATTATACGTGAGTGAAGTAGTATTAGATCTCCACAGATCATAATATAATGTGAAGTATTGGAGTAGGAGGTAATGATTTCAGGCGGGCATTTAGATGTAGGCCCAACCTCCTCACCAGGGGGCCGATTAAATGTGGTTTAGGGGTTACCCCCCCCCCCCCCCCCCCCTTAAAACCTACCAAATCATTTAACTGGATTAACCAAGTTATCATATGCATTTCTTAGATTGGTGAATAAGGTTGGTATTTGGCACACAATTAGCTGAAGACTTTTTGTTTAGTTAACAGCTCGTAGTAGTGTTACCATATGGTAACTATTAGTTAACAAGCTAAACTCACTTCTCTCTTTTATCGCGGGTTTCTTTCTTTACTTTACGTCAACCGTATAAAATATCAGTATTAACAGCAGCTTAATAGTTTGTTGCTCTAAACTTTGCAAAGTTTGCAAACTTTGTCTCTAATGGATCTCTACAATGATCACTTGATCAACACGTTGCGAAGACGGATGTACTACAACTACACTACACACAACATTTTAAAACGTGGGCAGCTCTAACAATAACCACCTTTTTAAGTTTTTATATTAATTATACTTATTTTTATGGAGTTTTAAAGTTAATTCCACTTACCAGTTACCTCTATATAGTTTCTAAGTTAATTCTATATTAACAATATTAAAAACTTTATAGAAAGTACTTTGTGGCGTGAAAACGTATATATTTTTGTTAACCATTTTAGAATGACAACAAGATGTTTATTACCTAGTCAAAGGAGCGAAAAAATGAGTAAAATAAATTTAAAGAACAAAGAAATAAATATGTTAAGTAATTATGCTTATTTAAAGAAATATCTATACTATATTTTAAACTTAACGAAAACTCCCCGGCAACCACTAGAAACGGTTAATAACGCTGTCTGCGTAAAAAGTTTTGCTGCGTCGTTGCGTAGCAACATAAAAAAATTGCACGTGCTCACGCTATGACTATTCATAACTGCGATTGATGTTTTTTGATGCAGTAAAAAGTGTCGTTCAGGGAATACTTAAACCTTTGATATTATTGCCAAATAAAATCCATATTTTCTATAGTACGGAGCTAGATGATGAAGAAATTATAGAACGTAAATGATAGAACGTAAATGATGAGGGATGTAAAGTAACACTACTAGAGTAAAGTAATATTACTCGAGATTTAACGATTAAATGAAAGTAAAATAACTCTTGGCCTCGGAAACCAGCTACTACGGCTATAAAGGGATGGAAAGTAATTTGGTGGCCCATTACAACAGAAATGAACTTGTAAGGAACGACTAGATCTCCACTGCTTAGCAAATCGTCCCTCGTGAGGCTAACTCAGTAACTCAGCAGTTACAGCCACCGTAATACGATAACCTACAAATTTGAAACACACAATTTAGATCTGAGCCGCGCGCCCACGTGGGCCAAATACCTTAAATATTTCTCATACCTGTGTAACATGACCTGGTAAATTATTGGCGATTATTACGTGAACAATTCCAGTCCGGACTATTCATGCACGTTCTCGAGGTTTCCTTGGTTTGTGTTTTGGTTTTCGTTGTATTGTCATTAAGTGGAGGTGATGGAGAACAGACGATCAGGTACGGGCTGATTCCTTGTTACACCCTGTAATAAACTAGTAAACTGTAATAAACTAGTAAACTGTACCTGATTTAAGTTAAGCTATTCCATATTGTAAATTTGTAAGTCACATTGATGTAATTTAACCTGTTTTACTGTTTATAAGAATCGTATGAATGTTCATGTGGAACCTTATGTAAAGAGTTACAGTCCATATTGTACATCTACTTCATCAGAAACATTAAAATCACAACCAGCTCTACACACAGCACCATTACCACCATTACAACCTATATTTAGTCCCAACCTCTCCCCTTTCTCTACTCGTCACGTGACTACAGTGTTGCTATGCCAACACACGGTAGCTCGTGCAGGAAGTTAACCTTTACACGCGCTCACCAGCACCCTGGATCTCTGCCCTCTGATTGGTTGATCTTACACCACGTGACTAATGTCTGCTCGCTCATTGGCTGCTGTTCTACGGGGAGTCTGTTAGAGTGTGCAGAGACACAGACAGGCTGCAGTTTTGCTGTTGAGACATGTTTTGTTGTAATGCAGTTTCAGGGGCGATGTGATCGTTATCACGGTGCTGTTCTTAATATCCCGCATCGGAGATATCAGGCTAGGAGGTCACGTAGTTTGCCGAGTAGTTTGAGAAGCAGGTACCCATCTGGGACCACAAGGTTGTACCTTATGATGTCACCACACCGTGTGACGTCACCAAACCGTGTTACGTCACCACACCGTGAGACGTCACCACACCGCGTGACGTCACCACACCGCGTGACGTCACCATATCAAAACATGTCGTCTCTCGACAGAAGATCTCCTCGAAATGCCTATCTGAGTGGTGAGATTGGTATAGACTGTCCTGGAGATCCTCTGGATGCTCTGAACCTGATAGCTAGTACTACTCCTCCTCCTCCTCTGGATGCTCTGAACCTGATAGCTAGTACTCCTCCTCCTCCTCCTCTGGATGCTCTGAACCTGATAGCTAGTACTCCTCCTCCTCCTCCTCTTTTTAGTGACCCTTCACTTTCTGCTAGAGGGATTAGTCCAGAACATTATGATGTCTCCTCTTACCAGGCTGCTCCTTCTTACAGTTACAGTGCCCCATCCTCTCCATCTTACAGTGCCCCATCCACGCTGCGTAGAGGAGGATCCCCCTCCTCTCCGTCCAGAAGAGGAGCCCCCGCACCCTCCTTCAGTAGGAATGTGGCCCCCTCGCCCCACAAAGAAGTTACATTCCGGCCGTCAAGAAGCCAACATTCAGATCAACCCCAGTTCCAAGAGAGAAGAAGGGATCTGTCCCAGTTCCTTGATGATAGAAGATCACCGCCCCATAACCAACGTGAGGTAAGGTCTCCGCCACCGCCCCCCATCCCACATTGCTCGAGATCACCCTCTACAGAGACCACACCTCCATCCTACCACCCCTCACCACTCCATCAAGTACAGAGCCACCACCCGTCTTCAAGACCTGCAGATGAGGAGATGGTGTCCACAGCAGGATCACAACCCCCTCCCAGTGCCAGGGAGGTAGGAAGAGCGCGCAGCAATCTCATGCACGTGCACGTGTCACGTGACTCTGCTGCTGCTAAGCAACCGAGTAGAGGGGTGTCACGTGATCTAAACTCTGAGATTGTTGACGTGAGACAGAAACTTCGGCCAGTTCGCCGACCAGCAGTTAAATCCCAGACCAGCGAACCTTACGCAACAGAAACTGTTGAGCTTAGACCAGTAGTACGTCAGCCACGTGACAGCAGGATGACGTCACGTGACAGCAGGATGACGTCACGTGACAGCAGGATGACGTCACGTGACAGCAGGATGACGTCACGTGACAGCAAGATGACGTCATCTTGTTACGAGAGTCCTAGGAACCATCTGCTGACCAAACCCAGATCTCCAACTCCGTCCTACACAACTCAGAATTGGGGTCAGCCACCATGTAAGTTTAAAGCTGGTTTGCTCCTCATTATTTTAGTTTCACACCGCACCCCTCACCCTTGAGATGACAATAATTTGCCATTTGTTATGCATCCCAAAAGTGATGGTAATGTAGTAAGTATTAATACTTTAATATAACAAGTAAATAACTTGGTAATGTAGTAAGTATTAATATAATAAATAAATAACTTTGTAATGTAATAAGTATTAATATAACAAGTAAATAACTTGGTAATGTATTAAGTATTAATATAACAAGTAAATAACTTGGTAATGTAATAAGTATTAATATTATAAGTAAATAACTTACGTTTAGCATCCTCTTGAACTCCCCAATAATCTGTAAGTCTCCTTCCTTCATTACAACTCCTAAAACATAACAAACATCATGTTATCATGTTATCTTGCTGTGAGACTCGTTTAAACACAACCTTAATTAAATGTAACATGGTAAGCGACACAAAAAAAAACATTGCAATCTTCAATAATCAAACTAAAATTCCACTATAGATACAAACGTAGTTATTATTTATAAAGTAATGACATCACAAAGAATTCAACAGTTAATATCCATCACTAAGTAAGTAGTGATTAGTGGGCCAGGCGGGCACGTTTGATAAACATAAAATATGTTTCGTCACGTGACATAAATTATGTTTTGACTTTAGTCACGTGATATGAAGTTATCAGGAATTAGCTTGCAGCAGTCACTTAAAACATGTCCTATCAGCTGTCTTAAAACTATCTTATATAATATATATATATATTATTAGTTAGCCACAACTATCAGTAAAACAACGCCTTGACTTCAAATGTCGGTAAAATGTACCTTTACAGTCATCCTGATATAAAGACATGTTAGTAAATTTATTCAAAATATCAATCCATCAATCAATCAAATAAAAGAAATTTAAAATTTAGAAATTTTTGTAACTCAGCAATTCAAGTTATGGTGGGTTGAAATCCCAAATGAGTGGTAGAGGTGAGAAAATAAAAGATGCAAGAAGAAAATCATCTTTCTTCTCTAACGTTCATCCCTCCAAAGTGCTTTAAAGTTTTAAGCTGGTTTTGCCAAAAGTTCTCCC